TTTTTTTTTTTTTGATACCGGGGATCGAACTCAGGACCTTGAGTGTACAAGGCAGGTGCGGTGCTGCTGAGCTAAATCCCCAGCCCTGTATTTGCATATTTACTGATTTATCCATGGATGGATATTTAACTTGTTCCTAATTTATTTCACCAGAGTTTTTCTAAATTCATAATTTTAGTTAAAAATATAATGACTATGGGAATGATAGATAGAAGTACAATGTTCTTTTTACTTGGTAAAAATGTATTTTTGGTTCACTCTTTAATATGCATTCTTTTTCTTTCTCAGTTACTGGAACAAGGAAATTTATGTAGGAAAAGCGTAGACCAATGCGATTTTCCTGAATTTTGTGATGGATTAACTGAGGCTTGTGTACAGGATACAAAAGCTGCTGATTTTGAACCATGCAGTAATCATACTGCATACTGTTATAAAGGAAGATGCAGAGATACAGATCTTTTCTGTATGAAGCTACATGGAAAATGTAATAATTGTGGTTTTTTCTGCATTTCTTTTTTATTATTCAGGATTAAACTGAGGCCTTTTGCACTGAGCTACATGCTAAGCTGTTTTTACACTTTTTTTAGAGTATCATTAACTAAGTTGCCCAGGGTGGGCTCAAATTTGTGATCCCCTTGCTTCAGCTTCTCAGGGTGCTAGTATTATAGGCATGTGCTACTGCTTCCACCTTTCTGGAGTTCATTTTTAAACTATAGATATTGTAATGTCAGTAATTCATACTATAGTCACATTAAAGTTTTTATAAATCCAAATTTAAAAATAAAATGACAAAGCAACTTTGAATGATATCAAGAAGTAGAATAGACTTGATAACTATAGGACAAAAAGAATAGGACATCAGTAAAATATCAAATGATTGGGGGAAATGGTGGGAAATATTAGAATAGAGGAAGAAATGACTGATTTATCAATCATTTCTGCAAAAAGATACCAATTTTCCATTTTCAAGTGGATAATTTCTAGTACTAATTCTTCACACAGAACCAGTAGATGGGAGCAAAAATATGTATAGCACATTATAACTGAGTGGGCATCATTGTTTAAATACTGTGTTATATTTTACCACACTGAATTTGTAATTATTTTTAACAGATGACTGACTGAAACCTCTTCATTTGTATTTACAGTTGCTCAGGGAGGTACAGATCTGTGTACAATGGAAATAAATTTTCAAAATGATGACTTTGGAAACTGTCAGGGAAGAAAATGTGATTTTAAGTATGTATTTAAAAGAAAAGTCTACATTTTCTATGCACGTGTTTGTGTGGGTGTGGGTGTATGTGTGTGTGTGTAGTGCAGTGTCACTTAATAAAAATGAAAGCTGTACCAATACAGATAAATTTATATTTTGTACTTTGTCAGATGATGTATGTTCTGAATAGCTTTGGTGATAAGAGCTAAGAAACATTTTGATATATCTCCATAGCTTGAACTGTTATTTACCTAACACACTGCATCCTTAAATAACAAATGAGTGATTATTTTTCTGTCTTCTATTGCCAGCAACATTATCTGTGGGAAGGTAGTATGTGAATGGAAAAGTGCAGAAGTAGTATCAGCCTCAACACAGCTCTATAATATACAGTATACTTACCTTTCTGGCCATACATGTATATCTGCACAATTTAGGGTACCAGCACCTCCCGGAGCAGTTGATAAAAGCCAAGCAGCTAATGGTCTTAAGTGTGAAGATGGTAAGGTAAATATAAATTTTAGTTGACACTATATATGGTGGGAATGTGTGAGAAAGACTGTTTTATATATGATTAGTTTTACAAATTTGGCTACTGCATATTAGGAAATATTCATTGGCTTAAAACAATTATGATATGAATTACAATAGAGAAAAAAACCAAGGCATATAAAATACCAATTATCTGTTGTTCAGGTAGAATATATCTGAGAGGAATAAAATATTTTGCTCAAAAATGACATTTGCACATATGACATGGAAGAATATTATCAACATTATGGTAAGTAAAATATAAAAACAACCCACAAAGCATGAATTTCTACTGTCTGGATTGCCCCAATGCATGGGAGTTTTCTGGATTGTAGTTTATATTAAAGCATAGCTCATGTTGATCACTGAAGGTGTCTTACTGGACCTCCCAATTCAAGACTGCAGCAGCTTTGTGCCTCTACATCTTAAATCATTTTAGCTTTTTAAAACCTAAAACACATAAATAAATAAAAGTTTTTTAGAAAAAGTCTTCACATGAAGATATTTTGGCATCAGTAACATTGAAAAGTATTTCAACCAAGGAAGATCTAATGAAAGATATCCAAGATGACCTCCAAACTTATAACCACAGTGCTTAAAAAAGACCTACATACATGGAAAGATAAACCATGAATTGGAAGATTCAATATTGCTAAGAAGTTCATGTTTTCAAAATTAATAAACATGATCCAATCAGAATTACAGTCCCAGCAAGTTTATTGTTTTGTTTCTTTTAGGAGGCTGCCAAAACTGATTTAAAAGTTTACACGAAGAGGCAAATGACTAAAAGTACAAACGATTCAATAAAATTTTTAAAATGAAAATAGAAACTGAAATTCACATTACAGAATGTCAAGAATTACGAGAAAGTTAAATTAAGACAATGCTGTATTCGTACAAGGATAGATTGTCTTGTATACTAGAATGGAAAATATTACCCCAGAAGAACTACAGATAAAAATTTTTAACAAAGGCTCTCCAAGAAAACTTAATGGAATGTCCATTATCCTCAAAGATAAGGACATAGAATGAGTTATTAATGAGTTTCATTAATAAAAGTTTTAATGAAAAATGAACAGTGGATGGAGAGACTTGAGGGTCCAGAAAGATGGATGGAATGCACAGATTTTCCATGTGCCTTCCAACACACACAGTTAAAATAACCCTGGACAGTACATGTAAAAGCAGAAGAACTCTGAAGGGTGCAGACAAAAAGACAGGCCAGTTAAAATCTGGAAATCTAAGAAACAATTCAACAATGATCTCTCTCTTGCTCTCTCCTTCCCATTGTCTCCAACTGGGATCTAGAGAAGTGAGCAACTGAGGAACACCAAGTGTCACGGGATGAAGGAAGTCTTTGAGGAGCGCCTACATTTTGTAGCCAAGGAGCAGCCTAGCAAGACAGTACACTTTTACATAGTAACTGAGCAAATTCAGATAAAGTACACACAAAATAAAATGTCCCCAGCTCCTTTCTTGCCATGGCTTTACGAGCAGAGGAGCAGTGGTCACCCTATGCTCCCGGGACCCAAGCAGGACTGATCAGCTCCTCTGACCCCAGGTGTTAAATGACCAACTATCCTGAAAGCTCCAAATACCCTGACAATGTTGGTGCAGTATCAATTCCTCCCTGCTGGAACTGGAACAAACAAAAACTGCTAAAGTGCATAGTATAAGATTTAGAGCACCATAACCTCATATACAAGTTATTTCAAACAAAAGTCATTTTTCAGACCAAGCACCAGGAAAATATTAATTTGAATGAGGAGATGACACCAGCATCATGAAGACAGACATGTTAGAATTACTTTTATTTTAGATGGCTACAAAGCAGCCATCATGCTCGTTTAAGTGAGGCACTACAGACACATTTGGGACTGGGGATTTAGCTCAGTGGTTTCGCCACTTGCTGTGCAAACTAATGAAGAAATAAAGTTTCAGCAACAAAAGAGAAGATATAAAGATGAACCAATCAGAAAACTTGGAATTGAAAGGTAAAACTCAAAATATAGATGTGAAGGGCTAGGGAACAGAATGGAAAAAACAGGAGATAAGAATCAGGAAGAGAAAGAGAAAACAATAGAGAATGTCCAATCACAGCAACACAGAGAGACAAGGACACACTAAAATGAATACAGACTCAGAGGCTCACGGAAATATAAGAAATGATATAACTTGAATTCATGTCGTTGTCCTGAAAGAAGACGAATAAGACTTTAAGGGGGAGAAATACTTTTTTTGGAATAGTGCCTGCAGATTGTCCAGCCTTGTCAAAATGAATGAACCTATATGTTCAAAAATGTATGGACGTGAACACTGCTGCTAGTCCCGAGGAGCTAGCTGAGCCATGCCCAGAGCCAAGGAGGTAGGCCCCATTGGCACCAACAGCACACCCCCCCCATGCTGCTGAAATGAGAAAACATGTAAACAAGTCTCAAAACCAGACTTCCAGATCACCTAAAGCAACCCCAAAGGGAAACAAGATGGAACAATCTGATACTCAACCACCTGGACTCCCTGAATTGGCAATGAAAGAGGATCTGTAAAATATGAAATAAAAAATAATTTCTCAGATAACAGCAGAAATTGTACCCATATGGCAATAAATGATTAATAAACCTAGAGAGGATACAGATTAAAAAAATACAGGAGCTAAGGAACATGATAGAATCCCAACAGAGGAAACAAATGGAATCCATAAAAGGATGCAAATGGATTTCCAGAAATGAAAAACTCCATTGAAAATTTATGCAGCAGAATGAGCCAATGTGAGGACAGAATTTCAGATATAGAAGATAAGATTGCAATTAGTGACCAGCAAAAGAAAAATTGCTTTAAAATTGTAAGGGACCACAAGAAATCAATCCAGCAGCTGCTAGACAATGCAAAGAAGAATAACATAAGACTGATCGGAGTCAATGAAGAAACAGGAGAGAGTGCAGATGACATAAAAAACTTCAGAAATGATGGCAGAAAACTTCTCAAGCAGGGAAAAACAACTTGACATACAGATAAGTGAGGCATATAGGACTCCAACTAGACTTGATCAAAAAAAATTTACACATAGGCATATAATAGTTAAAATTACAGAAACCCAACAGAAGAACAAAGTTCTACAAGCAGTTAGAGAAAACAAATCACATACAAATGAAAGCCCAAAAGAATCACAGAGGACTTCTGGAGTGATGTATTTCAAACCCTAAAGGAAAACAGCTTCCAACCCAGATTTATGTACCCTGCAAAACTATCTTTCAAAATTGATGGAGAAATAAGATACTTTCATGACAAAGAGGATGTTAGAAAATTCAAGAATACCAAACCAGCACACCAAAAAATTTTAGACAACATCCTAGGAAAAAACAATGAGGGTCAAAACCCCAGAAAGCCTAGCAGAATGAATCCATCAGGCATAACAAGAAATTAAAGGCAAAAGGGGAGAATCAAAAAAACAGAAAAAGTTATGACAATGATAAGTTAATATATATGAGTTATGACCATCAATGTTAATGATCTCAATTCATGAATCAAAAGAAATAGACTAGCAGAATGGGTCAAGAAGCAAGTTCCAAAAATATACTGCATATGAGAAACACACTAAATTCAAAAAGAAACTCATAGACTGAAAGTTAAAGGGTGGAAAACAATACTCCATATGACAGGAACCTGAAAAAAAGCAGGATTAGCTATCCTCTTTGCAGATCAAGTGGATTTCAAACCAGCATTGATGAAGAGAGACAGAGAAGGATACTACATCCTTGTAAAGGGAGCAATCCAACAGGAAGAGATGACAATCACAAATATATATGCACCAAACACTAGTGCACCCAACTATATAAAACAAATACTAACAGACATGAAAAATCAAATAAGCACTAATACAATAGTACTGGGGGACCTCAATACCCCACTGTCACAAATAGATAGATCAACTAGACAAAAAATAAGCAATGAAATACTAGAACTCAATGAAACTGTTGAACAAATGAACTTAACAGATGTTTCCATAGTGTTCCACACCAATAAATCAGAATACACATCAGAATATGCACGGGTTGTTGTCCAAAATAGACCACATACTCACTCATAGAACATGTTTCAGTAAGTGCAAAGGAATTAAAGTTATCCTCTGTATATGATCAGACAGTAGTGCAATGAAATTGGAGATGAATAGCAAAAGAAACCACAAGAATTTCATAAACATATGGAAATTGAACAACACACTTCTGCATAACCAATGGGTCACAGAGGAAATTAAAGAAGAAATCAGACAGTTCCTACAATTAAATGACAATGACAGTACAACATATCAGAATCTATGGGAAACAATGAAAGCAGTCTTACGAGGGAAATTCATAGCAGTGAATACTCAGAAAAAACAGAGTGAGCCCAATTAAACAACCTGATGCTGAACCTCAAGCTTCTAGAATGAGAAGAGCAGGACAAACCCAAAGCTCAAACAAGGGAGGAAATTATAATGATCAGACCAGAAATCAATTCAATGGAGACTAAGAGAATGATACAAAAAAATCAATAAAGCCAAGAGTTGGTTCTTCGAAAGAATCAACAAAATTGACAA